GCAGTTCAATGCTCGACTCCTGGGGCCAGACCTGTGCCGACACTTCTGACCACTCGGTCTCGTATTTAGTCACTCGATATCGTATGAGAAACTCTTTGATGGGACAGCCGTTTGAATGCCAGGCGTCGAGTTTGATGTGCGCCCACGTAGTGTTCACCACAAGGAATTCATTCACATGTTTTGGGGGTACAGGTGCTGTTGATTTGTGTAGGGAATATAATATAACGTGTTAATATGCGTGTCTTATGAACTGTAATTATTAACATTTTAATTTATAGAGTTAGTATGATTAATTAGCTTAGTAATATATTTGGATTACGTTTTAACGTTTTTATTGTTCAAAAATAACTAACTATAATCATTAATATTTTAAAAGCATTCTTGTTACTATAGTTAATATAATATAATAATTTAATAATAAATATGGTAAAATCACTTTTATAAAAACATGATTAATTTTTTAAAATAGTTTAAGAGTTATAATAAAAATATATTTTAGTTTAAAATAATAATATATTAAAAATTTTATTATAAACATTCTATAAAACTGTATTCATTTACATTGTAATAGTTAATATACATGTAAATTAATAGTTAGCTTATCCATATGGAACAAAAACCAAACAATACACTTTTGTAGATTGAGCTTATTATGTAAGATATCATATCTAATAATTTAAGTTTATATGATACATAAACGAATTAAATTAATAATTATGGTGTCAAAATTGTTAATAAACTGTAATTTTTAATATGTTAAAACTTAAACTCATATAAATAATCATCTAAGTTATACGTTTGGGGTTCACAAACGTATGTCATCTTAAGCGTTTGTAATATTTTTATAAATAAAAATGTGTTAAAATACTTTTGTAACTTCTGGTTATTTTATCAATTATCTTTGTCTTTTATTATTTAAAAATATGTTTGTTTAAATAACATTATTTTAATTTATAAAATAATTATTTGCATTAAAAAAATAAGTATGGCGAATAAGAAATTGTATTTATTTATTAACTAAATTTACATATGTACATAAGTATATTTTCCCGAATACGCTAATATAATTTGATTTATACGATATATATGTGGAATTACTTTAAATAACTTTTATTTTTAATTTATAATAATTATAAATATACATTAATTATATTATAATATCGGTTTAATTAGTATTACAATTACTTTAGGTAATTTGAAACAATCTTACTTGATCCTTTAGTTTTAATGGCGATTGAATCGCTGGCGTCTCCTTTTCCCATCGCATTATATGCCACCACATAATACTGTTGATTAAGGTAAAAATGTATTAATAGTATTTGTAAATTATGCTTGATTCAAAATATTAATATATACTGGCGTTGTTACCCATATATATTGTAAACACATTTTTCTACCAATTATTTCAATTATAATAAAACAATTTACAGTTTTTAAAATAGTAATTATTTAACCGAATAAATTTCAATTAATATATTTAATTAATCTCAAATAGGCTAAAAAGTGTTTTGCCAAAAATTATCTTGTTAATTTATACAATCATGCACAACCATGCAATTAACATGCACAAATACATGATAATACAATCCACACCTGATATAATGTGCCGCAGAGCAGATCATTACTGGTATAGGCGTTGGTTTTGATGCGGATCTGTCTCTCCATCCAAACGGATGAATGGCTTTTGGAAAACACATAATAGCCGTTGATTTGACTCAAAATGTGCCGCAGAGCAGATCATTACTGGTATAGGCGTTGGTTTTGATGCGGATCTGTCTCTCCATCCAAACGGATGAATGGCTTTTGGAAAACACATAATAGCCGTTGATTTGACTCAAAGCGGCCGAAAGATTAGCCTCAGAGGGAAAGGTCCACACGATCTCAATCCAGTCGTACCCGACGTCCCCCTGAGATAGTAGGGGCGCAGACGGCCTGTCCATCACTAGTGTCTGGCCATAAGCCTCCTCAGACTGGGGTCCCGTTCCCTTACTGTAGGAATAAATTTTTAAAATGTGATTTATTTTTGATAGTATAAAATAGTGTTAGTGCATAATTAATTTCTTTATTATTATGGTGTTGCTTTTTTGTTTTTGATTGACATTTAATTTTTAGCTACATGTACAATATTGAATAATAAAAAATGTTAAATATTTTTTTGTGATATATTTTCTGTGAGTATTTAATTATATATAAGTTACAATCTGATAGAATTATCATGTGTATAATTTTGACTTTCTATGATCTCTCTCTCTCTCTCTCGTAGAATTTTGATGCAATTCTTGCGATAGATTTTTATATTTGAAAACCTAATCATAACTTCTGTCCACAAAATAAGGTACAGATATTTACCACAAAAGAATATAATGTTTAATACATAACACATACTGTACTGACATGAAAGTTATTTAATAACGATAATATTGTATATATTATCAATAGGCTATGATTACATCTAGGATTATAAATAGTATTTTAGTCATATATAATGTGACTGATATGAGTGGTGGGGTTTAATAAAATTTGTGATTCATAATTATATTAAACAAAAATAAATTAGGTTTCAAAAGCATTCACTTATATTTTAAGGGCAGGTAATGATTAGTATAATAGTAACTTTTATACTGTATCATAATTCACTATAAATAAAATTATGCCTACTCCTAGTATATATTATGTTGAAAATAATTTACACTGTATCATTATTCCGTTAACTGAACTGGGTAATTATATTTTTCAGCCATCATGTTAACAGCATTTTGTGTAAAATATTTTATACAATATATAATTGAAAATTTTGATGCAAATTATCAAAGATATTTTGCTTTAATAAAATATTAATTTAAAATAAACCATATATCATCTATATAATTTATATACAATTCTTTTTTACATAGATTTATATCAGTATAACTGTCTTGCGGACTGGATTTGACAGCACCAGTATTTTTATCAATATAAAATATCTTTTATATCTATATATACAGAGAGTTATAATAAGTATTTCTTATAGTAATTCAATATAGGCTTCACTTATCACACAAATGGTGTCGTTTTTATGACATATTCTCTCTCTCTCTCTCTCTCTCTCTCTCTCTAACAAAACATTTATATCTATGGATAGACTTAGAGAAAAGGGGAGAGAGAAAGATAAAATCTGGTGGAATTTAATTCACCCTATTTTTATCATTTGTATGTTTGAAATATATATTTTATATAGAGATAGATATCTATTGTATCGTAAAATTTTGTGATTAAAATTCTGGTCTGATTTTAATGTCTCCACACATGTTATTGTGTGTATGCATTAGTACTGTATTATATGTGTCGTTATATACATCTATATATAATTATGTTAAATATAAATATAATTAAATAAAATGATTGAATTCCAGTTCACTAATGAGAGATGATATAAAGCTGATGGTTATCATAATAGCACTTACATCTGTATATCCCATCCATCTATATGTGTGTATATATACTATAAAATATATGGCACTTATATATTTTGTACTATACTATACAGTGAGTAGTCTATGGCAGGCATTGACTCCCATTATACAAATTACTGCCACAAAAGGCATTCAATTCAATGGCTTATAATTAACTGAAATTGAATGAAAAGCTCATCTCCTTTAGCATCACATCTCTCTTATTCTCCTTTAAAAAGCCATAAACTTATTATTTTTCTATTGAATTCATCCGGAAATGAGATGAGGGTTACATTGATGGAGATCTAGATGTATGTACTGTTATATATGTATTAATTATTTCAATGAAATCTCCCTTTTTTCAGTAAAGAATTCATTAATTTAATGATTTATCATAATAAATACCGTTTTCATACAATAGGGCTCAATATATAAAACATTTAATTCAGTTTTCAAACGTGATGCATTGAATTTGAGATTACCAAGCTTTAGTTTAAATTATTAATTTAATGGTTATATTAAATAAAAATATTTTTAACTAAATATTCCTATAATTTAACTAACAACTGTTATATATTTATTAGATTAGCATCTATATACCAAATATATTTTAGTATTTTATATAATTGAGATCAATAATCGCCCTTATTGATTATTTTGTAATATATCAATAAAATAAAATTACTTTTTAAATAAATGTAATATTAATTGTTAATAATTATATTTATAAAGTAATAATGAATTAATCTGAATAAGTTTGAATATTCCATTATGAAACTTTAATTGTATTTAATGAATTAAAATTTGCAATGAAAAATATTTTGTAATAATTGAACTTATGAAAAAACTGTAATTTGTTTGCTAAATAATTTTTTGCAAAAAATCTCATAAAAAATTATTTATAATTGGAGAAAAGACGAATTTATCATCTAAGTTTTATTATTTATCACTAATAATAAAACAATTAATTATTTTTACCACATTAAACATTAAATATTAAATATTCAAATAATATTAAACATGATAATTACCCGTTGAATGCCTGGACAACAATCGCGTATTTAGTGTTGGCAGACAGGGATGTGATGTTCACTTCGTTTTGTTGGTTCCCAGCGTTCGACAACTCGTTTGTCGACAACTTTTTAAACATGTAATTTGAGTCCATATCCAGCGCTTTATAGCCTAAATAATAGCCAACTATACGGCCGTTACGGGCCTCGAGTGCCGGCGGACTGAACGTTACGGCCAGTGATCGGGC